TGGCGTAACAAGTGTGCGTGTGCCCCCCCGGGACAGATGTCACCACTTTTAGAATGCCGAACAAGGTTAAGGGACTACGATGTAAGTAGGGCAGATGAAACGGGCATGCTAACTGCGAATAGATTTCTATTATTCATTCGTTTCAAAGATAAGAAAGAACGGCCAAAGTATGATTGGCCGGTCTAACGTGTCGGAGAGAGGAGCGTCGGCGTGGAGCGCGGATGCGTGTTTGGAATTGAGTCGCCGCTTGGAATTGAAGCGGATTTACATGGGACAGGAGAAGTGAACCAATCTTTTTTTTTTTTTCTTCAATGGACGCTACAGCTTCTGGTTTACTTTCAAATTTAGCTTTCATCTACAACTGCTTCAAACAACAAAGCGTAAGAGGGGAAAAGTGGTTCAGATTGCATGACTGCCCGTGTTTTGATATTGTGTTTATGATTTTACTTGATGTTAAATGTTTTGTAAAGCGCTGTATAAATCAGGATGTATTGTATTGTATTGTATTTTGTTGATTGACATCAACTGGTCAGCATGTCTTGTTCCCCCGACCCATACCACTGATGGGAAACGACAACTTGCACTCTTTGACAAGTCTATCTAGAGGCTGAGCACTTATTTCCAAAACAATGCAAACGACACAATTCCACACCGTTTTATTTGTGTGTTCGGAATGGTGCCGCCCCCGCCCCCAGGCTGTAAAGCCTTTGACTGATTGTTTCCGATGAGTGAGACCTCCGTGCCAGCTGGCCGCCGCTATACGCACTCGTGATTTGTACCCGATTTCATGGTCCAGAAGCGGCCCGCTCTTCTTTCCACAAGGGGATTACCGAGCGAGGCAAATGGCATCGCGTATGCATCTGGGAACAGCTGTGACTGCGGCCCGTTGCTCCCCAAACATCCACCAGCCGGCCTCGACACCCCTCAGTTAATAACAGCCGGCCCTGGGAAAAGGGGAGTGAGCGCATTGCAGCGCAACTGAAAGCGATCGGGTAACACTCGTAAAATACCTGAACTGTATTGAGACCGTTATTTATTTTGTCGAGTTTAAGGCAGGATTTTACTTTCCGCTGCGGAGCGACATTTGAAGAGTTTCCTCCAACTAACGAGGGGGAATGATTTGACAACCGGCAACTTCCATTTTCTTGTCTTGTCTCTTAAGCTTAAAGTGGCCGCATCTTCAACGCCGATTTCGATGGCCTCGATTTGAGATGAGAGCAGAGAAATCCGTTTGTGCGCATAGCTCACCCTCTTGATGACGTGAACTACTTCAGCCTTGACACAGGAGGTAAAGACTTTGTAAGGAGGAGAAGAAATTGAGAAAATGAAACATGATATTTTCTTTATCTCGAATAGTACCACTCTACATTTCACTCGCCTGCCTACATTTGGAAAATAATCGAATAAAAGTAAGTGCGCCTTCCCGGAGAAGTTGTCCTGGTCCTTTGGACCTTTCCTCTACCATTGTGTGTGTGTGTGGCCATGTTCTCATTCCGTGGTGTACAACAGTACGTTCAAATCGCTTCTTTTATACAGTTGGAATTACTTTTAGCACTTCTCTCATTCCTCTTGAGGCATTACAGAGACATTGTCAACTCTAAAAACACTCTCATGTAAATTCCACATTCAACCCAATCGACGAGTGAATGTCACCGTGGTTTATATCTCAGATGGAGCGGCGTACGGTCGGTGGTATCGAAAGATCTTCTCCAGGGACTCACCGAAGGCGAACTCACTCACCCGACCAACTTGGGCTGTGTTACTTTTCCAAACACGGAGAAAGACTAATGACGGCCGGCGGCGCTGTTGCTAATTTGTCAGCTTGTATTGTCATCCATTCTCATCATGGCGCCTGCTGACAGATGCGACAAACGATGCCCCCAATCCTCCTATGCGCACATCTGGAGCCATCGAGGTAAAAGTGTTTACGTCAACTTCAACCTCTGATTGCACCGTTGACTCGCGTGTCCATCCTGATGAAAACTGGCTGCAAACAACACTCAGGTCAAAATATAAACTGTACGAGTGGAGAAGCAGGGGTGGCTGGAGGCCATTTCGGAACCAAGACCAAAAAGCTACATTGTTGAGGAGGCGATACAAGTAGAATAGGTGTGCCATCTACTGAGTCGTTAGAAAATGGAAAGAACGAAGAGTATTTGGATGATGATAAAATGAAGAAGACGTATTTTACCTGACAAATCGCAGCGGCCAGCACGCACGCCATCAACATCCTCCCGATCATCCTCTCCACCTGAACTCGGACGCTCGCCGTTAAAACAGACCTCCTCCCAGAACAACTTGACCGTGTCAAGCGCAAACACGCCGCAAGCCTCAATCCTGCCCCTCGTTCTCCGGCTCTCCCTCGTTTCCTTCTCCCAGCATCTGTCCCTTCAGAGCTCCTCCCTGCCCATAGCCGGGGGTATGTCTTGTGTCGCGGGCGAGGGGTTAGAATTTCAGCAGTGGCCCTGGCGTGGACCCCTGCACATGTGCCGTCACTCACAGTCCTGGCAGCTCATAGACAGATGAAGAGAGAAGCGGTGCAGCTGTTGGTGCGGTGCAGACACAAGCAACTCAGTGGCTGAACTAATTTGGACGCCACAAAACGAAAGAGCTTGATGGAAAGAGGCATGAAATGAATTTTTTTGACAGCAGAGTGTGTTACTTTTTCTCGTTTCTTGTACTATATGTCAAGATAGAACATGCAGACCTGGTTAAAAAAAAAACAAACGGAGGCCACCCACTGTCATGAAGGATGGACTCTGAATTTCCCTGTGCGCTCAATTTTGTTTTTTCCATTTTGAAAAGGAATGAGGAATTCCAAAATGAATTCACCTTTTTATACCGACTTGCTGGGTTTCTCTGTCAGGTCCGAAATTAGGCAAGCATGACAGTCCAGTACAGTACTAAAAAAAAATTTTTTTTTTTCCAGGAATGTAAGTCCCAAAAATAATTTTTTAAAATATGAAAAAATAATAGCACGTCCGCCTCATAGTACAGAGGCGCAGGGTTCAATTCTGGCTCAGACAATTTTTTAAATTTAAAACACCACCTGTCTCTGTCGTTTTAGAAGCACGCCGTTGGCAAGAGTCGCCTTTATGTTTCTCTTTCTTCCCCCTCCACCCTCACACACACACACACACATCCATCATTAACAGGCTCAGACCACGCTGTGAGTGTGTGTTTAGTTTGTGCGTCCGTGCGCGCCTGCCAATGCAGACGGAATCAGAACAATAAAGCCGGTTTATCGACAGCAACGGTTTCAGGGGCTTAACCTGTAACAATCCTTTAAGTTGGACCAAGCCAAACTTGACGTTCAAGTTTGACAGCGGATCCAGCCGGCAAGACCTCCTCTCCCGGGGGACCCGGGGATGATGCTCTGCTGCCCACTTTTGGCTGTGCGCTCACATCAACTCTGATTTGCTTTGCACGCTGCTGGTCAAACATTGCATCAGTCGTCAAGCCTATTGCGAAATTAAAATCGAAGCGAAAGCAGGCATTTTAACCATTTCAACGGAGATTTGCCACATTTTATGGCCATTTGCACAATCTGGCTAAAATTGTGTCTAAAAGTTAATTATGTTACATATTATTGTGCTGTCAAACCAAAGACAACAAAAGTCTTGCATCAAGAAAGAACAAGTAAGCCGAGGTTCTATTCTCTCCTCTTCTATTGTGGTCCTTTCTTTCTTTTCTATTCTGCTCTTGTTGGTGTGACTGGTGTCACAAATTCTGGAGAAAATCCATACAATTGCTGATTTTCACTGAAGAGAATAATATTTAATTGAAATATTACTTATTGAATTATATTCTTAATATTGCAAATGTGTATGTCGTAGTAGATTTAATGAGAAATAGAATTTTTAGAGTGTTCAATTAACCTACGGTGCATGTTTTTGGAATGTGGGAGGAAACCGGAGTGCCCGGAGAAAACCCACACAGGCACAGGGGGAGAACATGCAAACTCCACACAGAAAGGCCAGAGCCGGAATTGAACCCTGCACCGTGAGGCCAATGTGCTCACCAGTCGCCCACCGTGCCGATTGTGATATTGAAATTTAACAATGAAAATTACATTGATTTGTTAATGTATGTTTCCCTACCAAGGTTGTGGAATGATGTTGAGGTGGAAACAAAACAACAGCAAAAAAAAAAGAAAAAAGACCCGACTCAATCATGTCGTAAGATTGCGCTCTTGCTTCTCATTGCCTCATTAAACAAGTCATTATTGGGCTTTACGAGGGAAGCTATTCACTGTGGTTGTGAGCCTTGTAGAACAAAACTCATTTGAACATTTCCTGACAGTGCCTGTAAATCAGCGAGAACGTGCAGATGTGCTTGCTTCCCATTCCTGCACTCATTCACATTCACATTGTACAGGCAGCTGAGTTACTGTATCTTAATAATGCAACTTTATGGACATTAAGGGACTCCGAGCGGGTATTTGGTGCTGCACTCAGCAGCGCTTCTCAGCTTCTCATACCGACTACACCCTACAAAAAAAAAAAAAGATTTTAAAATGTCATCCATGTGGAGTCCTACCAGCGAGAAGAAAAAAAAATACCAAAAAGGTGTATGTTACAGTGATATTTACAATGGAATAATTACACACTTACAAGAACCATTGGACTTGGATTAAATTACTGACAGTTAAGGATATTGAATGCAATGCTAATGATCTTCTTCAGAATGCCACAAATTCATACGCATAAAAAAATATGTTTTGACGTTCATTCGGAACCTCATAAACTCATCAAGTATTCTAAGTTTCAAGCAAGTAGTAACAGTATTTGAAGAAAAAAAAACTGCACGGCAACACACTACGAGACTTTTTGCTTTGTAGATTCGCATTTAAAATGTACTTTGAATTAACTGAATCAAGTGTCCACCAATTGTCCCCAGAAATGGTTGGTTGGACACTTGAAAGCGAACATATAAATAAATAGCAGAAATTACGGCCAACAGTAGAGGGCAGTGTTCTACCATTAAAAAAAAAAGAAGAAGACAGGCGAGGACAGGAAAAAAAAAACCCTGGTGGGGCAACAGCCTCAAGAAAGCACATTTCGATCTGGAGAAGACAACAAAGAAGTGGTGTAAAGCCACACACACACACACACACACACACACACACACACACACACACACACGAAGCTACTCAACACAACGCTGCCATTTTTTTCTACACAGAAACATTCATTAAATTGGCAATTCAAGACTTTTGTCCCTTTATTGTTGACTGACCAAGCGGACATGCATTTGCATTCCGTTTCTTAACGCGACTGCGTGCTCTTTATCTATTGCAGACAAATACCTGAGTGAGACATGCACAGGAGAAGCACAAAGGTGCCGGTAGTGCCGACTGTGTGCGAGGGAGAGGGGATGGGCGGTGTAAGAGTTTCTGCTGCAGTGCCTTCACCCCAAGTCTGCCTCCACCAGGGTGGGTTGCCAATTAGAGCCAACAAATATGACACACTTGACTCTCCCGCTTGAACCATGGCTGGAGATAATAGGCCTCTTCCTGCAGCACGATCGATGACATTGTGTCCCAGGGTGCAAGTCTACGCGCGCGCGTGCGCGCGCGCACACACGCACACACGCACACACACACACACACGCACACACACACTCACACAAAAACCCTCTGCAAGCCAATCCCCCCCCCTTTCACTCTTCTCTTACCTGTCAGAGAGTAAAATGCCAGCTTTCCGTTTCTTTCACAGAAATACACAAGCACGAGACAGGCTTGCCAAAATGCCTTTCTGCCGCTTTCCATTTACAGTTTTCAAACAATGATTTTCAACAAGAGAAGAAAGACCTTTTAATCCAAGTTAATACTAAAAAAAACAAAAAAAAAAATGCGAGATGGCAAAATGCATAGAATGGGCTACACAGCTAATCCATCATCTGAGTGTGCTATGCGCCTCCCGAACACCGCAGGGGATGCCAGGCTGTGTGAGGACACCTGAGTCATGGGGATTACACTTATTACGGTAATGGATATCTGCTGTGTGAATGTTTGCGACTTGCCGCCATTGTCCCGGACTTGCATGCCGTTGTGGTTGTTACACTTCGGGGCTGGGGTCACCGCGGCTGAAGAGGGGACAATCAAGTCCAAATCGAAAAAAAGAAATCCAGCCATGAAACATCATAGGTTTCATCCCTGAGCTCTTAGGAGTGTTTCTGCGGCTCCATCGGGAGGAGAGACAAAGAGAGAGAGAGATATTAGCTTTTTGAGTCAATGGTATTGTGGGGGTGTAATAGCGGAGAGGCCTGGTTGCAGCAAAGGGGAGGAGGGCTTGGTTTTCAGGGTAGAGTTGACAGTTGTATGCATGTGTGAGGCTAATTTGCCTCCATCAGCTGTCACAATCGGAGATGTCAGGGCTACTTTGGCTCTTGGTCTTTCTCACTCTCTCTCTCTCTCTCTTGCCTCCTCTTTGCTGTATATGTCATGTTGTCAGCCCACATATGCTCGTCTGTGGTATAGGGGGCAGGGACGGAGGGAAGCTTCGGATGGGGGAGGCTCCGTCTTTTTCCTGTCGCCGTCGACACTTGTCTTCTTGTTTCTGTGCCGCTAACAGCGGTCGCTTTTAACCCCATCAACTGTCGGCGCTAGGCCTCTGTTGCTCATTCGTATGCATGATAATGTCCCACAAGAACGGCCTCATATATCTCATAAAGAGAAATACAATTCTCGGACGGTATTTTCTTGTCCTGTTGCGTCAAACGCGACAACAAAATGTCTTGACATAATTGCTCTCTTAAATATGGGTAAAATATGTGCAAACTATATGCTCTTAATATATTTCATTTTTGATACATACAGACATAATACATTTGCATAGAACAATGCACATATAAAAGATCCCCTATCCTAATGATTTGTCAAGAACCAACGAAATCGGATGTGATGGTAGCTGTCTATGGAATTAAATGGCTAACTGTCAGCTAACTCCTTCACAACAAAAACAGTGACCGATGGTTGAATGCTGCAAAAATTAGGCCTGGTAATGATAATAATGTGCTGATATTGTAAGGAGCCCCAGACATGATCTTTAAAAAAAAAAAAAACTATAGTACAGTCCTTTGTGCGCACAAAGTACTTATTGGTGCATACTAATTACTATTTCGCCTTCCATAAACTATTACTTCCTGCGCATGGACAAGAGAGTACACAAATCGAGCGCACCATCACTAGTTCGCTTCTCTCTGACCTAATCAGTGCCTCCAGAAACCCACATTTTATTGCATCTGACATTTTTATTTTATACCAATATTAAGTAGTGACATGACAAAAAAAAAAAAAAAAATCATTTCGTGTACAGTACATCCGTCGGTAACCACGATCCCTCCCAGAGCGTTGCAGTTGCTGAACAATAAAAATCGCGGCGCCCAAGTCGTACCCCCGCCGGTAAAGCAAAAGCTGGCTCTCGAAAGCCTATTCGAATGTTTCTCAGTGATAATGATCCCTTGCAATGGCAAACTTTTTAATGATGTCCTTGTAACTCATCCCGAGCCTAAAATAAAATTCAACTATGCTAACCGTGTCCATTATGTAGCTTTTCCTTCAACGTTTCCACTTGGAAAGAAGGTGCATTTGATTTATATTCAACTGACCCGCAAGGAGCCACAACTATTTTGTGCGCACACTCTAACTGCTTCATGCACACGAACAACTACTTTGTGCGCACTTTCTAACTATTTTGTACATACAATGTAGTAGTTCATGCGCACGAAGTAGTTCCTCATGCGTACATAATAGTTACAGTGGGTGCACAAAGTATATACGTTTTTTTCAAATGTCATGTCTGGGGCTGCGTAATATTGAGGGTTACTCGCTCAAACTACACGACGAAACTCGGAGACGTACCCGTTTGCATTACGAGTGGGCATGACAAATGGATGGCTACAACTAATGCAACCGACTTAAGAGCATTTTCCTCAAATTAAAGTGAAAAACAAGTGTCTCTTCTAAATTCTCAGAATAGCACATTCCCCAGCACAAGCATGAGTCATATTCAAAAACCAAATTCACATGCGCGTCACATTCTCCGGCTACCACACCACGCCACTGAAACGTATGCTTTGACAAAACCATAAACAAGTCGATACAACACATGCGTGTTCTATATCGTCACTTTTTTTCTGTCACACACGTGCACGCATACGCGCGCACGCACACACACACACACACACGCCCCTCATGGCTCAGAGTACACTTGCCTCAAGTGCCTCCCTTGCTGAAGCCTCCACAGCAGGCGGGCACGGAGACAGTCTGAGTGCTTTGCTGTATCACACACAGTCAGCACTGTCAGAGCCATTGATTTGTCAACAACATAGAGATACACTGTAGATGGATAATAGCTCATCTTGTGTACAGTTGCCGCACGCTGCTGGATGGCCCAAAAGCATCTGTTGTTGTTTTTCTTCCTCACTTTCCTTCCTCTACCTCCCAAACCTCCCTTTAAACACACACACACATTCCTGCAGTTTGAAAACAATAAAAGAAAAGCAATGTGTCTTGTTCTGCTGCTAAATAGCTGTCTGCTTTGTGTCTCTGCAGGTAGCTGCACACGAGTGACTCGTCCATCCATCACAACACAGCTTGGCCAACAAACATCCTGCGACACGGATGATAAATACCCCGGCTTCAAGAAAAGGCCAGACGGAGAGATGGATGGATGTGAAGGGAAAGAGACAGTTGAAGGTTTTAAAATAGAGAGACGGGAAGAGAGGCAGAACTGGACCGAGACGGCATCAAATTGAAGATGAAATACAGTCAGGAAACTGTAAAAAATGTAACAGAAAATAGAAGAAAAAAAAAAAGAAATCAAATGCACCTGAGCGTGTAGGACATATATTCCACTACTGCTCCACGATTTGACTAACTTCTTCTCTCCCTCCTCATCTGGGTCGTGGCTGCATGAAGGAGCGATCTGCTGGGTGACTGACAGACTCCTGCTCGCTGCCTCTGATAGCATTCCACTTTGCTTTGGTATGTGGCAACATAACGGAATTGAGACAATTTAAACAGACTAAAAGTAAGAAGATGGACATTGGTCAAACACTGGCTGCGTGCAGGGATGCGTGATGGCTGCAGTTTTGCAACGCCGCTAGAATCAGAGACACACGCAGTCTTGTGCACAGAGCAAACGGACATTTGCACAAAGCCAGAGAGGAAGACAAGCAGAGGACGCTGCAAAAGACACGCAGGGAATGAGAGGACAGCGAGAGGCAGCCTTTTGTTGTTCCGCCGCTACCGTGCCCTCTGACCTACAAAAGAACCGTCTGCAAAATGTCGCACAAAACCACGCGCGCGGCTACATAATGGCACGAGACAGACAAGCAGGATGGACCCGGGGACACGTTTCCGCATGGACGCCCTCGTGTGCGGAGCCAGTCCAGCCTCGTTCTGCCCACGGGCCCTCCCAGACAGGCCACTCGAGTGAGTGACCCCCCTGCTGACTCTAACACTGTGTGGCAGGGGGACCTCGAGACAGATGTTCCCTGCCACTGGCATGGTGCTGAGGAGAAGACACTCTCACTGTGTCGGTGTGAAGCAGGGCGACACTAAGAGAGAAATGGAGTGCTTGAATGTAGGGCGGGGGGAAATTAATCAAATTTTAATTGGGATTCCCATTTTGGCTTGTTGGGATCATCAAAACCTGAAAATCGAAGCAAAATGATTCATGAGCCAAACGGCGCTGCGAGTTGGCAAGTTTCCGACGTTGTGACGGTACCCTGAACGCACCGCGTGGCTTGCGCAGCAGCAAGCGTGTGACGTGCACGGGATGCCGCCCTCCCCGAGAGGGTTTTAAGCTGTTGAATGACACCCCAGTTGGACTCAATTGCAAAACTAAACACACAACAAGAATAATTAAACACGTTGTACGTTTAAACACATTGTACGTTTAAGACTTAATTTTAGAAAGAGCGCCGGTGCTCATGTTGTGATATTTCTTCAACTAGCTCTACTGGGGTACAAATCCCCCTACTAGGATATGGCTAATGTTCGCATTTGAATCGGTTCAGTTGCGATTCGTGGTACCTGGGAATGTACAGTATACCTTTAACGATACCAATTTATAAATGTATCTTTTTTTTTATCCTACAAACAGACATTTCCCAAGATACGGCATGAAATATGATACCCGAGTTCCGAGGTTGTGAAAATAAACACGATTAATGTTCATACTGCATTATACATCGTGGGTGGCGGCCATTTTATTGGCAATGGTTACATCGGTGTGTCCCTCGAGGTACTTGTAACGAGGTAGGACTGTAACGCGTTTTAAAATCAATGAATACAATTTTTTAACCACGGTAATTTGCATATCAATCAAAATAATCACGATAATTTATTTATTCTCTACAAGCGCCCGGTCATACTTGAATGGTAACATTGAGCAGGAGAAGGAGGAGCTGCGGTGGCGCCGCTGTCAACGGAGAAATAAATCAACAAAGAGCCATCGCCGGTGATGGCTACTTGAGTGTCATTAGGAATCCAGTCATGGGGCGGCTGAGTCTGAATAGTCAGCAGATGCGGACTGACAGCAGGAGGAAGAGGAAGGATTTTTAATCTTCAGCCCTGAATCACTCTTTTACCTCCCCTCCATTTTTAATGACCACACTCCTGCTGCCGGTGCATGTCACCTCCAACCTCAAGGGTCATCACAGTCATGTCATGAGACACGCCTGAGTAAATGTCTTGAATACGAATATTCGTCGGCCCACGACCCCGGTGAAGACAAAGGAGATAGATAGGCCAATGTTGTACTTTAGCGTGTTTCTGTTCTTACTTTCACAGGATCAACATCCACAAAAAAAAAAAAAAAGTAATGACTGTACGCACACCATTCTACGTGATTCGTCATTTCATGATTTATTTTGGATGTATTTACTTCTGTATTGCTCGACATCCATAAAGAAGAGAGGTCAAACAGTTTTTATCTTGCACGTGAAACCCATATTTAAAAAAAAAAAACAAGACTAAAGCTAATACTAAACCTAACAAGAACAATTGAAAGCAAAGCCTTTGAAAGAAGAAATAAAAATTCATAAAAACAACCACGCTCTAAAAATAAATGAAAAATAACTGAATTAAAAAAAAGAAAAATTCAGTCAAAACAAAATAAACACGATAATGAAAAATCCCAAGCTATTATAACCCCACCATGTTGTTGTAGCGGCAACAGTGCATGAAATAATGCTAGACAACCAACTCTTGTAATGGACATGCAGTCATATAAAAAGACCCAAGTGTGAGCACTACCCGAAGGGTAATGCTGCACATTTCCCCTCTCGGCTGCCATTTTAATGAGCAGTCAAAATGGCCACACTTGAATAATTAATATGCGGGTCCATTAACAAGGCATTAGAATGCATTCTATTTCCTATTGATTTTTTTTTCTTCCGATCCTTTTCTTTTTTTTTTTTTTCCCTCAGTTGAAAACTTTTACTCCGCCCGTCGACCACTGTGCGTCCAGCGCCGAGAGTGAAATATGGCTGCTGCTGTTTAAATGTCAGCTTTGTAATTACACATGGAGCCACGAGCCGGGCAATCCCCCGGCCTGAAGGCCTCTGATTTATGGTCGGCCACTGATGGCAACAGCACAGACACATACAGACAAATGCATTCACCCATCAAAAGGACTTCGCCCATTGCGCACGCACACGCACACATACACACACACGAGCTATACTCCTGTTTATTGACTGCACGCGCTTTATCCAATAGGTCGATGCTTTCGCACTGTAACACAAAACACAACAGAAAAACATCATTGTGCTGTCCTAGAGGACCCGTGGCACAAGTAGACGTTTGGTAGGATTGCACATGACTGGAAGATGATGCTTGATGCCCTTCAGGTATAATATGTCAACACATGTACGGCTATACAGTTTGTAGAAATGATCAACAATAAGGATTAAAAAGCTGAACTGCATCTTGCAGTTTGTAGCTCCACGTTACATCATCCACCGAAATCGAATACGTTCTTCACAAAAGCAAAGGAGAACCACGAGACTAACCAGTGCACAAAAATCGTTGGATGAGAGTTGAGTTGAAAAAAAATAAAGGAACTATGAAGAAAGTGTGCACGGTTAACCTATCAATTTAACAAGAATGTATTGGTTTCATAATATCCTTATTATTGTGCATTTGGTACTTTTGTAGTCGATTTTTTTTGTAGTAGGCTCCTGACCCACTTAATCCACCACAATCACATCGTGATTATCAATAGTATACACAAACACACATGGGAGCATGCATCTGTGCCATTTGCATCATCTGGAGCAATTCACAATCAATATTGCTCTCATAATGTGACAAAAACATACACAAATATCAATGACGTAACATCATTCTGAAACGTATGAACATACGCAGACGCGATTCGGATTTTCAGAGCGACCATTCACAGAAGAGAAAAATGCTGACGTGATTTTGCGCCTGTTAACCGGAGGCGAATCTGAAATTGAGTGTGATGAAAGAAACAATCGCATTGCTCGAAAATAGTTCCATCAGGCCCCCCGGCCCGATGGGCCATGACGTCCGATCTTCGTGATTTAGCGGCGGTGACCTGCACTGCACATTTTGGCCCTTGTTGTTTCGCTCCACTTTTGAGACTGAAACCAAACCTGCAATAAAACAACACAAGTTCCATGATCCAGAAAGCCCGGTTCGGTGTAAGTAACCGCTCCATAAAGGCTTATCTGAAGGCTAACACGCACCTTATCTGACATCTATGGATTGTACGTAGTTTATGGCGCTCTCAGCAGGGTAGCGCTTTACGACAATGCCTCACCAATGCATTTGACTTCAAGTGTATTTTCAGTTTTAATGCTCTCTGGTTTGTTGAATCCGGACGATTGAAATGTACAAGTACAAAAAAAAAAAAAAAGTTTTACAGCATTGCTACAAACCTTTTGTGTGCGTGTGTGTCACAATTTCGTGGCCCCTTTTTGCTCAGCGGTCTAACTCATTGCAGCGGCACGTGTAACGAACGTCGTGGTTCAATACGGCCCCCCTGCCCCGCCCTCACTCGCCGTCCATCAGCCAGATTGTAGGCACAGATACCTGCTGGGAAAAGCAATCCATATGTGGACGAATGGAGGAGGAGAGGCAAGGCAAGGCTCCGATCAATGGCCAGATATTGATACACGCGGCCACGCGAGGAGAGTACAGTCCTTCTCAAGTCATTCTCCCTCTAAGTGAGGAGATTAGGAATCTCCATGAGATGCTGAGTAAGATATATTTGGGTGTGTGCAGGAGGGGAAGGTGGAGTGGGGGAGGGGTTGCTGATGTGAGAGGCCGCAAGACACAAACTCGATGAGGTCGGATAAAAAGAAGTCGGCGGTTTCATTGTCGAAACGGACTCCCCGCCGCGGAGCTCAGTGTTGTCGCGAGCGCCGAGCGTCAATAATAAATGCCGTCATTGCACGTGAGCGAGGCAACTCTGCAAGCTTTGCCGCCCCCCCCCCCCATCTACCTTCAATTACGCCAAATCAAACACAAAAGAGTTGCGCCAAAACGCACATGCTGCTACACAGTCCATCTGGAGGCATCAGACTTGGATATCTTGAGAGTCACAGATTTTTTTTTTGGTTCTAAGCTACTAGCCTGTCATCTGCCCCCCCCCCCCAAAAAAAAGGACAGGGCAGGTGTTTTATAGTATTTGTGCCTCTGATCATTCATCGAGCTGATCGATCACTCTCCCGGCAGCTCTTATTAATGATCTTGTCAGCCGGCCTGCTCTCGGGTGCAACCGCTTGTCCAGAATGATCGATCATTAGCTAGCCCGCCTACTATTTATTCTCTCGTGACCTTGTCTCTCCATTGTGGAGCGGGCCCGACTTATGAGAGCTCGTGCGTGATGAAATCCAATATTGATTCTCTGTTTTTTGGGGGGGTGGTAGTGTTCAACTGTGAAGAAGTGATGCATTAATGGCACCCTCTTCTCTTCGTGTCCAACCGATGATGAAGAAAGGAAAGGCAAAAACTCTCACGCGGGTTTACATCTTCGAATGGACTCCAATGCAAGACTCATTACAAAAAAAAGAGCCTTCACAAAAATAACAGTCCTCAGTTTTTGACACCGTCAGAATGGTAGGGAGGTAGCCACGCAACAATGTACTTCGCATTAAGTGGATTATTTTTATTTCTTTTATTTATTAGAAAATGGATGGATTCACTGTCAAATGTAGTGATTCTGTATTTTATTTATGTATGACTATATTTGACCAATGTGAACCACTTTGGGAGTCCTCCCTCGGAAAAACGTGCCACGTGACCACACAAGAAATCAAATAAACATCCGTCACTATGACTGAAAACATTGCCAATTAAAACCGAGCAGGATGATCTTTGTCCAGGCAGAATTGTTGTCTTGGATCTCGCTCAAGCGCAGCTTTGCAGGTGTCCCAAATGAAGCGTATGCAGAGCAATGAGGCGGGGAGGAAAAGTTCGCCAGAGAGGAAGAGTGGGAAAAGGTCAACAGCAGTGAAGGAGGAAATAAAAAGAGAGAGAGAGAGAGAGAGAGAGAGAGAGAGAGAGAGAGAGAGAGAGAGAGAGAGAGAGAGAGAGAGAGGACAAGCAGGAGCCCGAGGCTGAGCCTCCGATGTGAACGTGGCTTTAGAATAAACATGAGCAGCGTGTAAACAACACGAGGCCACCTACAAGCGTCTACCACGCACCCACACAGGCCTTCTGGGGTTCTGGCTTCACCATGTATGCCGATACGCACTGCGGGCGTCCCGGAGGCCCGTCGCGCTCCTCCTCCCCCTGGACGCAGTTCCAAACATCAAGCCCCTCATGGTCATCAAGTAGCTGCAGGACTGGAGCCTTTTGTGAATGTCAAAAGTGTGCACGTGTTTTGATTGCATCCCCGTGTGTGTCTGCTCTGCAGTCTAAGGAAAGGGGTCAGCGGGACGTGGCTGCGCTGCTGTGAATCCGGAGGCAGTTCTTTGTGTTGCTTTTGCTGGTCCGTATTGGAAGAGAAGTGTCGGGAGCAACTTCGCGATGGGCGTTTTGCAGCCCTGTGACAAAATAATACAATGACGGAGATGAGGTGGTGGGAAGTGTTTCGAATAGTCCGTAATTTGCACCAGAGCAGTGAGGAAAAAGCGAAAAATGATGTGGCGCGACGCTGTGGCAAACCCCAAGCACAAGAAGAGACACTGATAAATCTGACAGTCGTCCAAAAAAATAAAAAAACTGCTTCAGTCACATTTATCCACTTTGGAAAGATATTAAATTGATAACTGGTCAACACACAATTTTTTCCCCCCGAATTGGCTCTAGTTTTTCAGA